GGTTTTACCCAACAAAGAATCAAGCTTTCACTAACTTTGAATGTTACCAAGAAAATTCCTCAAGTGACCCAATAAAGAAACATATTATTACTAATTGTACAATTCCAAGAATAAATAAAGATTCTTCTTAATCTGAAAGAGAAAGAAAAAAAGTTGAATTCTTTTGCCTCAAGCAGCCAAAGAGATCAAATGAGAGAAAAACTAAAAACGATCTCAAGTCCTAAAAGAAGACAGAGAGCCAAGGATTCTTCTACTCTTAACGGCTCAGCTTCCGACTCTTTCTCTGTTTTTCTCGCTTTTCTTCTTCCGCAATCAGCTTCTCTTGCTCCTCATCTTCCTCCCTCGCAATTCTCGCACTGCATTTAACAATCACCGTTAACCGTTAAAGGAAATAGAAGAAACAAGTAATGAAACTCGAGATCAAAACTATTGATGTACCTTCGTCTCTCTTCTTTCATGATATCGTCAAAGTTAGCTTCCATGTTTCTGTCATCATCGTCACGCCCGGCATAACGACTAGTACTGAGATTGAAAACCAAAGCCCACAAGTGTCAGGATAAAAAAAAATCTAAGAAAATGTAATGGAATTGAGAGCAGGAGGGAGAAGTTCGAAGCAGTACTTGAACATTTCTCTAATCATGTTGAGAGCCATATCATCATCCCTTGACAATCTAGCAGGCTTCTTCTTCCTCGGCCTCCGATCATCATCTAGATCACGTGGTGGAGGTCTCTTGGGCGCCGGTTTACTCATCATCTGTACAAGTTAACAGAGAAATTAGTGATTTGCTTGTTTTGTTTTGGCCAAAGGACATACGAGATAGATGTGAAAAATCATGATACCTGTTTTGAGGTAGGTGCTGATTGTTTTGGGATCATTCGGGATGTCATTGGGTCACGGGAAACTTTTCTCTGTTCTGCCACCCGTTGCCTGGGATCAGACGACAATGGCCTTGATGAGGACGGTCTCTGACCACTTTGAAGAGAACTCTTTCCCGCCGAGATGGAGGGCTTCCTTTCCAATGAAGTCTTAGAAGGCAAAGGTCTTGCCATGGACACTGACCGAGCAGGACCAACTCCATTGCTGCTGCTGCTCATCTGTTTCCTATGGTGATCCAATGGCACTCTCGCAGGAGCTGATCTTTGGGAATCTGATCTGGAGTTGGGTTGGCCATTCCGGTTAGCTGATTGGCCATTCATCGTGGAGCCTGGTGGCCTCATGGGTGCTTGACGGTTTGTTGAGGTACCTGGTCTTTGGCTGCCCGAGGAGGCAGCCCTTTGCTGCATTTGGCTGCCAGAGGAAGCCGGTCTTGAACTTTGCATTTGGCTGCCTGATGAAGCCGGTCTCCCTGAGACAGATCTTGACTGCATATGGCTGCCCGAGGACAATCTTGGATGTTGCATTTGGCTGCCCAAGGAACCCGGTCTTGAATGATTCATCAACTGGCTGCCAGACGGTCTTGAATGCCCATTCGCTGAAACAGGTCTCTTCTCCTCGCGTGGGGGACCATTGATACCTGATGGTGGTTTGGGCCTTGCTGAAAATTGAGCAGACCGAGCCTCTTGAACATCAGCAAAAAACCTGTATAAGTTATCTCCATGAAAATGGTATGCTTTAAAGATCACACAAAGGAAACAAGATTTTCAGAAGACACAACATACCAGAATTAGGAAAGGAGCCACTTCGAGAGAGAGGTTCCTTCTTCGGGACAGGAAGCTCTGCATCATCAGATAACAAGAATGAATAGTCTCTTGTATCCTTCAGAGCCTCAACTTTTCTTCTCACCTCATTCACAACTTTAGGCTGCTTCTCATGCGACACATTCTTAGTGCCTGAACCGCTAGTCGAAGCAGGTCTTTTCTTCTGCACATACAAAAAAAACATCTTCCATCAGCCAAAACACTATAAATGACAAAATATGAAGACAAAAGAAGATTGAAACACATACCGTTTGGTTCGAGGTTGACGTTCTAGCTGTCCTTAGCTCGTTTTCTAGCAAGGATTTGCTTTCTTGTATAACCCTGGATGAAATAACAGGCCGCGAAGGACCAAAGAAGGAACCGAAGCTGCAGAAAACACAAAAAATTTTGGCCTCAATCAAAACACATTCCATGATTTTGTAGTAACTTAAAAACGCGAGATTAACAGCTACCACATACTCGTTATAAGGGAGTTTTCTTCTTCTCTCTTGTGAAGATTGAGCATTTGCGCTTCCTTTGCCCATGTTCTTCCTGATTGAATCCTTCAGCTTTTGTCGCAATTCAAGATATTCCAATTCTTCCTTTGGGGGCTTTCTT